CATTGGACCATGCCATTTTATACACGTCATTCTCAGCTTCATGTTAAACTCATGCTTAAATACAGGCTTCTTCTGAGAAAGACTATAATTCAAAAGATATATTTTTAAAGATGCACAGTGGTTTTGGTCTTTCTTCTGAATGCAGAAACACAAGTGGAAAAGACCTGCTGTAATTCCTCAGTACAAAAGCTTTGGTGAGTCAGAGCTTACCTTTGCTCCTCTTGTTTACCATTCAAAAATGGATCTTCCTGCAAGATTTCAGGCATTGGACAGGGCTCATCAGGCTGGGAACTAGAAACACTGCTGATTCACTGCGGGATCAAGATCAAGCATCTACTTTTGTGGGTTTTTAAAAAAACTTTATTTAAAGAAAAAACAGTAAAAGGGTACAGTAATACAGAATACAGTAATACAGTTTCAAAAAAATAAACAGTAAATAAATTCTGTACAGTAATACAGAATTTCAAAAAAATAAACAGTAAGAAATCACTATTAATAGATTACATGTTGTCATCTTAGAAATAGTTGTTCAAGTTACAAAATTAAAGCATACAAAGTGGACATTCAAACAGGGAGACTGCAAAGAGTTGTGTACAATGATCCAATAAAAACTTAGTAATATGGTCATCTATCTTACACATCTAAACACACTTGCAGTTGTATGCTTTAGAGCACTTTCTTTTCCTCTCTTTTTTACAATAACATTTACATATTTGGGGTTTTATTACTCCCACAGTTATTATTACTTTTTTGGGGGAAGAGAATAAAACCAAATGTGACAAAACAAAGGAGTCAGTCAAAACAAAAGGATGGACATAGTACACAATGTAAAAACAGAATATAAGGTAATCAACAATGGTTACCATAATGCCTCTTGCAACCTTAAAAAGAATTGCCTATATCATCAGGTATAATAAAATTGAACAAAACAGAACAGAACAAAACCAATAAACCTAAACATTGGAGACATTACTGGACTTCAAAAGAAGATAATAGTCAAACCAGAATGGTTGTCATAGTGAATCTTATTGTCTTCAAAGTAGTTGCCTATATCCTCAAACTTGATACTATCAAACAGAACACAATACAGTAAATTTTGTTTGGACCACATTTTTCGCATCTGTGAAATGGCCAAGCAGGTGATAGAGACTGACTTGATTGTCATTTATCAAAGGACGGGACACAAATCAGGGAGAAGACTTTAGGAATCATAGGCTTGAAGGAAAATCACCTAGTAAAGAGGGTAATCTCTTGCCACTCTCATCTTATCCTTTGGATTATATGTCAAGAAAAAACTCTTATACTGATGCTGCCCTGTCATCAGCAGCTCTAACACATGTTCTTTCCTCGTAACTAAAAACACACCTCACTGTCAAGCTTCAGCAGGGAGGAATGTTCAGCTAGAACTTTCTGTCATTAGTTTGTGTGTGCGCTTTGACTGAATCCTACTTTAGCAGGTAACCCTATTCTTTCATCTCTTGTAATGATATAAATTTCTTTTTATAAATCAATTTAGAAAGTAAGTTATTTAAAAATAGCACAGATATTATAGAAGACACACAGGTATAGCAATCACTACTAGTTGTTCCAGTCAAGACTGGGAACTCTGCACTCTGACATCTGAGGTTACTCCACGTTCTGCTGAAAACCCAGCTCATCACAGCCCCCATTCAGGGCCTATGCCTGGTCCATCAAGAGGTGACTTCATTACGTAACCTCTATTGTCTGGGCCCCTGGGTGCTGACACTACATTGAACAGACTCTCGGTAGAGGCTGACAGGTCCAGGGTTCTGGGAACTGTCTCTTTTTTTCTTTCTTTTTTTTTTTTCCTTTTTATCGGTACCGGAGATCGAACTCACGACTGCCTGCTTGCAAGGCAGGCGCTTATGCCGCTGAGCTAAATCCCCAACTGTCTCTTGCTACAGATACCTGGACAGCTGGTACACCACACACGCATAGTCCTTCTTCTAGCAAGGAGATAGAATTGGCTGTGGTTTAGCCAGATTTAGAAAAGAATCATAATCGTAATTTCTAGTGGTGGTGAGTGTATAAGGTGCCTCTTTACATATGAGCTCAGAAATCCTCACCTCACACCTCCAATTTAGGTATTATTCCTGACTTCCCCTTACAGGCAAAGATATCAAGCCTCAGCAGAAATGACTTAAGAAGTTGCACACCTAGAAAGGAGTAGGAAGATTTCAAACTGCATCTTTTGCCACCAGTCACTGGCATTTCTACTAAAATGTTGCCAAAGAAAATCTGGAAAGAACCCAGGTTTTTTTGTTTTGTTTTGGTTTTGTCTTTTTGAGACAAGGTCTTGCTATGCAGTTCAGGCTGGCCTTGAGCTCACTTTGTAGCCTAGGCTGGTCTCAAACTTGTAATCATCCTCCTGCCTCAGCCTCCCAAGTGCTGGGATTACAGGAGTGTGTCATCATGTCCAGTGAACCCAGGGTTTTTTTATAGCAATATTATCTCTTACTGTATGGATGTACATATTTCCATACTAGGAAAATGTATCTTATATTCAATAAGTGAGCAACTTTGCCGTTAAAACTTTGTGTGCACCTATATACATTTGTAAAATAAATTTCTAAAATTTTCACTGTTCTGTAAAACGTGGTATATACATTTTTATTTTAAAGAGAATAAAATGAAACAAAATAAAACTGTTCAGAAAAGAATAACGAAAGCAATAGAGGACTTCAAAATAAGTAAATCAACAGTGGCTACCATAATGTCTCTTGTTCTCTTCAAAATAGCTGTCCATATCAACAGACATAATAAAATCAAACAAAACAAAATAGAATAAAACCAATAAAAACAAAAGAATGAAAGTGTATTTTAAAGAGAATAAAACAGAATAAATCAAATCAAAACAGTGAAAGTGATATAGGATTTCAAAACAAGATAATGGAAAATCAACAATGGCTACCATAATGCCTCTTGTTATCTTCAAAATAACTGCCCATAACACCAGGCATAATAAAATCAAACAAAATAGTACAAAATAAAACCAATAAAAACAAAACAATGGAAGCAATACAGGACTTTAAACTAAGATAACAGTAAAACACCAGTAGCTACCATAATGCCTCTTGTTATCTTCAAAATTGCTTCCCATACCATCAGACATAACAAAATCAAACAAAACAGACTAGAATGAACCCAATAAAAACAAAACATTGAAGGAAACAAACCAATAGAATGGTGCAAAATAAAACAGTAAGAATATTGGATTTCAAAAACAATACAGAAGAAACTCTCTCATATTTGCTATATTGTATATTGCTACTCTCTTAAATAGATGCTCAGTCTAACAGTCTTAAGACTGAAAAGTCAATCAAACAAGTAGTAATTTATTTTGCTACGTCAGACATTGTCAATTCAGCATCTCCTCCAACAGGGATGGCGGGTGTTCTTGTCTCCCAGCCTGCACGCAGTTGGCTCATGGGAAGGGTGACTTAGCTTCTTGTTCTTCTTGCTCCTCCTCCCAGCCTCAGCATGGCTTCTACTGACTCATGTAAAGGATGAATTGGCTTGACTTTCCTCCCGGGCCCCACATGGCTTGTGCCAGCTCACAGGAAGGGCGAACTGGCTTCTTGTTCTATCTATACATTTTTAAGGCTCTTGACAAGTTGCTATGTCTTACCAAAATGCCCCTCAGAAATTCTGCACCAAACACTTCATGTGGCCCCACCATGAATGAAAGTGTCCATCTTCTCATGCTTTCCCTAATTGTGATTATCCCATGAATCATCCCATGAAAACAATGAAGCCATCGGTTAGAATAGGAAGCAAATTTCAGTCATTTTATTCGATTTTCAATTCGGCCTCCATAGGAATCACCCTCTGTTGTCAGTGAGATTCCTTGTAAAAGATGTTAATTCACCGCAGGTGCGGTGGGCTTGCTATAGTGCAACACACGGTAGGAGCTCAATCAGTGGTAGCTCCTTCATTGCCCATCACTGAGGAAACAAGGCCTAACAGAAGAGAGGTCCTGGGAAGTGCAAGAAGCCCTAAAGCTGGGAGAGTGGAACCACAAAAAGCCCGAGTAAGGTCCTCCGAGTCCTGTGCCCCTTGCTGGTGAGGCAGGTGGACACAGAAGTAGAGGCGGGAACACAGCATCCCCCACTTCCTGCTCCCACGGGAAGCTCTGGTCCTTTCCTGCAGATGAAAGGCCTCTGGTTCCTGAGAGTGACACCCAGAGACAGAAGACAGCTGGGGAACTAAACAGGCCCCCATCAGCCCCAGCCCACAGTAGAGCAGGGGCGAGGGAAGTAGGGCTCTGGATTCTAGACCTGCTCCCTGGCTGCCTGTGTCACAACCTCTGTCACTTCAGGAAAGTGAGGGCATGACCCCCAGCGTCAGGCACCTCATCTCTAAGATGAGTATAACGATGATTCCAACCTCAAAATGTCACTGAAATGATGAAGGAGACAGAAAGTTGTGTAAAGCATGATGTAAAGCACCCTACACTTAGAAACTCCTCAGATGTTGTTATTACTCCTGTCATTATTGTCATCTTACCTTAGGATTGTTACAGGACCTTTGGGAAGTTCTGGCTTTTCTGTAGCTCTTAGAAACGTCATTCCGAAAGAATCTTGCATGAATTCAAACTGAGTTAATGCTGCCAAAATTCAAGTTGGGATTGAAGTCCCTGCTGCTCACTGGACCACTTTGGAGTTCTGATTTCCTCCTCTGTACCCCAGGGTGCTCCGGACACTGAAGGGTTATTTAGATGATTCCATAAAGCAGGGGCTGGATGGTGGCCAGCCCAGGGATCCTGGCACAGAGAAGGGAGTCCAGAAATGGGAGTTCCCTTTCTCTTCCTGATCTCTTTCTGGGAAAGGGCAGACATGGAGGTTAAGGGCCCCCTGGGGCTCCTCTGGCCACCTGACCAGAGGACTGGGTGGGGAACACGGAGGGGGTGGTGTGATGTGGAGTAGGCCAGCCTCTTTTTCCCCTACGACACCAGCAATTTTCAAACAGATCCCTTATTTGCCAGGTTGTTCTCCACCCACCAGGCCCAGCATGGCCTTTGCCAGAACAATGGCAGGATACAGGGTTATGCTTACATGCAGTCCTTCGAGCCAGGTTGTACTGGACCAGGCAGACCAGGGCTTGTCCGGGGTACACAGTGGCGCAGCAGCCTCAGCATCAAATGCAGGGACCTCTGGAGTAGCCTGGGGATTTTCACCTACTGCCTTGACAGCGAGGCTCAAAAGGTAAGACCTAGGAGTGTGGGGTCACTTGGAGATGCAGTAGAAAAGAGGCCCAGGATTCGTGGATCATTGCTTTCTTGAGGGGCTTCAAATTATTGGTACAAAATGGTATCTGGGCTTCTGGTGTCTGTGAACAGATCTCTGCCAGGTAACGTAAGAAGCTGCCACTTTTTAAAAGGCCTAATTCTAAGGAAAGCCAAGTCTTATTATTTGTAATTACAAGTTCATTTACTTGCTTAGAGTGTCTAGTAACCCCAGCACCAGTGCTCGTAACATTCTGGCACTGTTGTGTTCATTCACAGATAAACACAAAGCAGCAAATGACTGAGATGACAAGGACACGGTCCCAGCTGAAGTCAGACACAGTGAAGCTCTAACTTACTGCTGCGCCTCTCATCTTGCAAACAAGTTAACTTTCGGTGGGCTTTTTCGCACTTCTGTGCTTTTTGTTTGCCTCTTTGCTGTTTAAAGTGGCTCCCACCAGAACTGAAGTGCTGGTGTTTCCAAACACAGAGTGAATATGATAGCACAGGTCAGATGACACATGTTCTGTTAATGAATTAAAAATTACATTAAATAAGGGACCTTTAATTTAAAACAAAAAGCACACGTAAACCAAAGTGTGCATGGATCAGCTGACAGAATTGTGTTTTAGAAGCACCAACTTACACTGCTGATGCCGAGCAATGATTCAGTATTTTACCAGCTAGGGTGCACAGCCACTTTACAGAATATAACTGCACCAAAAAATAACAATTGTCTGTATTTATGATCTTATGCAATCTTCCAAACGGCCACAGAAATAAATGTCATTGCCCCCATGTTAGACATGTGGACTTTGAGGCAGAAAGACATTGATTCTCCTAAGGTTATACCAACGCAAAGTGGCCAAGCTGGGATTGAGACCCTGTGGCTTCCTTCTTGCTGTGCTGGGCTGCTGAGAGGGCACCTACTTGCCAGGGAGTTGCTGGACTCTTCACATTCACAGGAACAGGATGTGTGAACCACACCAAACCACTAAGTTAAAGCCCCGTCCTCACTGCTAGGGGAACTGAAGTCTAAAGAGGGCAAGGGTAGGGCCCAAGGGCATAAGAGGCCGGGCAACGTTGGTATTATCTGTCCTTACCAGGTCTCCTCTCTGTGAAGTAGTCTTGGCTTCCAGAATCTCACTTTGAAAGATTCTCATACCTTTCTTTGGAGAAAATACTGATTTTTTTTTTTTTAAAAAAGAAACATATCTCTCAAATGCCAGGCATTTAAATGTTTATTCTTTTTTAAGACAGGGTTTCACTATGCAGTTCATAGTGGCCTAGAACTCACTTTGTAGTCTAGGCTAGCCTGGAACACACAGCAATCCTCCTGCCTCAGCCTCTCGAGTGATGGGATTACAGGCTTATGCCACCACACTTGGCTTCACTGTTTATTCTTACAAGTCATAGACACAGCATATTATTAACAACACTGTCCTCACTGAAACCACACTAAGACACTAAGGTGTTAGCTTCTGCCCACCAGAGGCTTCGTAATGCAATGGGAACCCCATTACTTTCTCTTTTCTGGTCTTGACAGTAGACTTGTCCAAAGTGTGGGGCTAGATCGAAGGGCTAGGAGCTAATGCCCTGGGGTAGAAGCCCCAAAGGTGATGGCCAGGACGTTGAGGGTGGAAGTCCAACTTCCTCCCCTCTCGGTGGGACAGTCCACAGCCTCACCCAGGATTCTCCAAGGGACTCGGCTTCACTCGCCCAGAATGGTAACGGCTTGGAAATACTTCCTTCCCTCCCTGACTCGGTCTCCTTCTCACCAGCATGTGTGAAGACCTCCTCCCAAATAAACTCTGCCCTTGAGTAACAACTTTCCTTTGCAGTAGAGAACATTGCTGAAACACAGATGATGGGAAGTGCAGAGGTGGAGACCTGGCTCTGTGTGGGTCCCTGTGTATTGTGGCATCTTCCTCACCAGCCGGCTACCTCTCTCAGAGCTAGGACTGACCTGAGGCACAGGGGCACTTTGGAACAAGGGCAAAGAGGAGAGCCCACTGGCAGAGAATAACAAACATTAGGTGACGGATGCATGTTCTTCCACGTGGTAGACACTCAAAAACTGAACTCAGAGCAAAAGACCAAAAGAATTGTTTTTACAGACCGGTCATGTTCTGATCACCCTCCTAAATGACATTAATGGCTTACAGACATTCTTCTCCATATAACTAACTATAATAGGCTATCCCCATATTACAGATAAGAAAACTGAGTCTTGAGAAGGTAAACAGGGGCAAGGTTACATGGTAGTCTGTGGCCTGACTCTGGAGTCTTGCTCTTCCTTGCCTCCATAGTTCTAAGAGGCTTGCTCTCCAATGCCAGTATATCATGGGTACTGTTACAAAACTGGCTTTGGAATTCTATTTTGTGGGCAGCTGCAGGTGCTACCAGTTGGTAGAACAGGCATAGCTGAGGCTTCCTAATGGACTGGATTCTCCTGGAAGCAGGATCCTGTCCTGCTTCCCGAGCATCCATCTGAGTGTTCTATATTGCTTAGTAACCCCTTTGTCACAAAATGGGAAGATAAGCACACACTTATCTCACTAATTCCTAGGAGTTCGCACAGGACTTCGCTCTGCTCTGGGCTTCCCAAAGCCGTGATCAAGTTGTCATCCGACCGTGTTCTCATCTGGAGATTTAACTGGAGAACAATTGCTTCTAATCCCCTCCAGATCGTGGTGGATTCATTTCCTTACACATGCTTGACTGAGGACCCTGGCTTGCTCGGCTGTTTGCTGGAGGTCATCTACAACCCTGACTGTGACCCTCTCCCAGACGGCTCACACAACAGCTTCTTCAAAGCCAGCAGGACAATCTCTCATTCCAGTCCAACACAGAGTCACTGTAATGGAGCACAATCATAGGGATGAGCGACGTCCTACCACATTTAACCAATGATGGGTAGATAATCCTATTTCTGTTACCATTGTCATCATTGGTAACTAATACTTTTATCATAATTACTATAAATTTGGTATCCTAAGTTCCAGTATAAAGATCTCATTTATCTTGCTCAGTCCCCAATATCTGTGGGATAAAATCCACTGGCCTGGCCTTCATGCCCTATCATTTCCCTGATCGTCCCCAATTGTTCCCAATCCTTACAACCCCTTTCAGCACATACCCCTCTAGTTGGCCTGCCTTTAGCTCTCTAGTCAGTCAAACTCACCTGCCCACCTTTATTAACACCCTAGGAGCACAACCTTGACCCTCTCAGGACTGTCTTAGTCTCTATGCACTCTGGGTTCCAAAACTTTGGGTGTGTGCTTATTTATGTTGTTAACTGCACTGTATTGTAGAATTCAATCAAGCAGTGAGTTTTGATCCATCTCTGAATCCCAGGATTTGCCACAGATTAGAACTGCATACATTGTGCTGAATTAATACATAATGATGTTATTAACAGCAAATTTTTCTTTTATGGCCCCTTAAGATTCACAAAGTATATTAAGCTGATATGGGGAAGCCTGGAGTGAAGATATTGGGTCAAAGACAGAGAGAACCAACTGGTGAGCGTGGCAGGCCAGGACAGTCCAGAACCCTGTCTTGCAGGTTCCACAAAGAAGCCCGCGCTCCGAGAACAGCCCCTGGCTCAGCACTTCCCGTATTCGCTACTGCTATTTTTGGTGGTCCTCTTCCTCAAAGCCTGCTTCCATATTTTCAGGTCTTTGAATGTTGCAGCCAAACCACTGCTGTACTTCTGAAAGCAGAACCAGGACAGGCCACCAACCTCTGCTCCTTACCGACTTCCTGCTCTTGGGGCTCCGATCCTAGCCCCTCACCCTTTATCTCTTCACGGCCCATCCAGGTTCTGCACAGGGCCTGCACACTCTACCTCCCCAGGCCCCGAGTCCCTGCCTGACTCCCCCTGAGTCGGGCTCCCTGAGACCCCTGAAGCCTTCATAGGACCTCTCCTCATCCAGCTCCTGCTCACCGAACCACTTTCCTGCAAGGCTTCTGGGTGCTGATCCTCCCTTCACTCCAGGGAATCCTGTTTCAAAAGCAGTGGTAGGACTTTCTTGGGTTAAAGGCCAGGATTAAAACAAGTGGGAGTTACCATTTCTGTCCTCACAGCTTCCCAGGCAGGAAGGGGGCAGAGGCTGGGTGGCCTGGCCATGCTTAGCAGCTACTCAAAATAGCTGTGCTGGTCGACAGACCCTGAAGAAAGCTGGCCAGGGGAGACCAGGACCCACCAAAAGGTTCAAGAATGAGCTTCAGTTTCTTATGAAATTTAAGGGCTAGTCAGTGTGCCTGCTCTCAACTTTGAACTCAGTTGAAACATGCAACCAGGATTCCTGAAGCGGGCTGAGTGCAGAGAAGAGATACATGGGCTTAGATTCAAATCCAGCTGCATGCTCCAGGACAAAGCATGTAAAACCAGAAGAAGCTGAGTTTCCCCTATAAAATCAGAAGGATACAGTCCTTCACTCAGCCTGCATGTGAGAATCAAATGCGACAATACAGAAGGGGCCAACACAGAGCACAACCTATAGTAGTCTCGCCAAACAAAGCCGATTGCCTTCTCCTTTAAAACTGCTGTTCCTGCCTTCCTTCCTTCCTTCCTTCCCAGGGGATGTGAGGTCCCTGAGCTGCCCTACCTGGAATGCTTTAGTGCCCGCAGGGCTCTGCTGTCACAGGCCTCATGGCAGGCCTGCCGCCAGTCCAGCTGGGGTGGTGGCAAATGGCCCAGAGCCAGCGTCCTCAGCAACTTCAGGAGCTGCCGAGAAGTGAGGCTTTGAAGTTATGCCAGAGAAAGACGTGTTGCAATTATCTTAGTTATGCAGGGCCCCCGTGAAGTTTCAGGAGCAGCAGGTTAATGCACCGAGAACTCCGCCCACCAACCCCCAACACACATACAGGCACATGCACACACACGCGTGCACATACACCACACACACCCGCACATGCTCACACACTCCAGCTAGATTTTCAGTTCCCCTTGAAGTTTTCCTATCTCCCACCTCAGTACCATTTCATCGGCTTGAGACTGCTTACATTTTTCTTCCCTCCTTTCTGTCACGACCCAGAAAAGTCTTGCCTCCAAGCCCCAGGCAGCCATCCCTGACAGTTCCTCTTTATGCTCTTTCTACTTGGCACTTATGACTCTATAATTGCCCCATTTATGCCCCCAGGTCCCGCCAGGAGGACTTCTGGAGAGATCGGAGCTCTCATGCAGATGTCAGCCAGACCTGATCTCCTCGTCTAGAGGCCACGGTGACACTGCACGGGGAACTCTCCAGGCTCCGCTCTCAGCAGTGGTGAATAAGGGTCCCTGACTCCCTGGCTTCTCAATTCAGATTCTGGCTGTCACACTGAAAAACAGGAGGGAGGCTGAAAACATTAGCGCACAAGGCAGCACTTAAAGCAACAACCCTTTTCTGTCTTTTTCTGTTTTGCTATTATTGTTTTTGTTTGTTTGTTTTTTGGTTGTTGGTTGGTTGGTTGGTTTTGGCTTTATGTTGTTTCTGAGACAGTCTCAGCACAACCCAGGTTGGCCTGCCTCGGCCTCTCCAGTGTTGGGATTATAGGCATATGCCACTGTGCCTACCTCTCTTTTCCTGTCTTTAAGATTCCACCATAAGTTCAGGAGTAAATAATATAATTATCTGTATATTTATTACATAACAAGCACTGCCAAAGACTCAGTAGCTTGAAATCACAAACGTTTCTGATCCAGACATGGATTTATGTGTCCTGAAGGCTGCCCAGAGCCGCCAGTCTCTGTGTGATGATACTCGGAAAGTCAACCTGAAGTCATTATGAGCTTCCCCCATGGGATGGCTGAGGCAGGACAAACACGGGAGGTGGGTATCAGCTGTCACAGGCTCCACCTGCAGCCCATGTACATTTCAGCTTTGTTTGTTTATCCTCCCTGACCGCAGGTGCCTCCAAAATATAGCCATTCATTGCCTCTTCATTGTCACATGTCTGCTGCAAGGGACATTTAATAAATATTTGCCTCATAAATGAATAAAAATGAATATATAGTATATTTATCATTTATTTGCTCCTCAGCCAGGACCCTGACTTGTCCCCATGGTAACCTGCAGTAGGCTCTGAACTGAGCAAAGAGGACATGAGTGGAAACAGGACTTAAACTTGACTTGGAAAACTTGAAGTCTAAGGAAAGAAGACAATATACAAAATAATAATAATAATAATCTAGCATAAGAAAGACCACCACTGAATCCATGAAACTTGATATAAGAACAAGTTAATAGAAACTACCTCCCTGGAAAATTTACCTCCCAGAAAATCCCTGAAGGACTTTATAAGGAAGGGATATTTGAGTTGCCTCTTTCAGGACAGGGTTGGCTGGGTCCAAGAAAGGAAGGCAGAAACAAGGGCCATAGCATGCATGGAAACATGGACATTGGAGATCAGGACACTACAAGACCAGAGAGCTTTGTCCTGTGTGATGATGGGATGCTGAGGGCACAGACGGAAAGACAATCAGGGCTCTGTTACAGAGAACCTGGGCGGCCACACTAAGGAGTTGGAGTTTACTTTGCAGTCAGGGAAAACTTTCCTAGCTTCTGCTCATGAGGAGTAACACTGCACAGTCCTCTGGCTGCAGGAGGTGAGCACTGGAACCATGCGGCTGATAGAGCTTTCCTATCTCTCAAGAAGGGCTTTATTCAAAAAGCAAAGCATAAGACCACTGTGGTAAGTCTCGTGCTAATGACTGCTTAGTCTAGGTTGGCGAGAATACTGGCATTTCTACACTGAATGGGTGAGGATGTCCATAGAGGACCCTCAGGACTGACTCCAGATTGCACCCCAAAGTTGCTTGACACTAACCATGAAAGGAGGACCGTTCATGGTCTGGAGTTTGGCCACAGGATCCAGCAGCCTCCTGAAATGCTACCTGAGGAGACTCCTGGTGGGTCACAGCATGGTGGTTCATTCTTCCCAATGAGCCAAGCTGAGCTGGGCTGACGCTTGCCCCCTACCCTCACCCTCAGAAACGCTCTCCAAAAACACTGAAGAAGCTGGGATAGGCTGACCTCCAACTAAATCTGTAAGTTTCTCCTGGATTGCTTCATTTCCTTTCTATTACATGTGTCAGTCAAGATGTCTAGGGAAACAATACCAGTATTATCCACCTGATCATCTTTCTATGGATCTGTTTATCTACGTGCATATATAAATGCACATATGTATATATGCATATTTAAATATATGTGGCGTGGTGTGTGTGTGAATTGGTTCATGACACTGCGGGACAGTAGGTCTAAAATCCACAAGACAAGTGGGCAGTCTAAACAGTCAGGTGTTGACATGGAAGTCTTGAATCAGGATTTTGTCTTCTCCAGAAAACCTCAGTTTTTGCTTTTAAGGTGTTCAACTAATTAGATAAGATCCATCAATCTACTTAAAATCAAGTATTATACACGGTTAACCCCATCCACAAAACACCAACCCATAGATTAGTATTTGCTCTAATAAATGGGTCCTGCAGCCTTGTTAAATTGACACAGAACCAATCATCACACCAAGTTTCTTCCATTCTCAAAATCTGTGATTCCCCTGGATTTGGGGTGATTCAGCTACAGAAGCTAGTTGGTTTGCTTTTTTTCTTTTTCAGTTACCACAACTTCACTCCATCTATCCAAACCCATCACACTCCTGTTTTTTTCCTTGTAATTTTGAGTTCAGTGTGCCGGAAATCTTGTCCCATCCATTAGAAAACACAAACGTATGAGTCATGAGGGTCTGGCAGAGTGAATTTTCAAATCCCAGGAACAGAGTTTTATGATTCAGCCGTTTGAGTCCCCTAAAATAAACTCAGTAGCCGCGCTCTGCTTCACCTTCTCCCAAACACCCCACGACCTGGAGATGACACAGCACCCAAGAATGAAGACAAGAGTCGGCATCCCAATCACTTCCTCTATCACACTTTCAGTGTTCCTGACTTAGAGAACAGAAACTCTCCGGATGAATAAGCCAGTGGAAGCTGAACCCTGCAACCTTCTCTCTGAACATGAATGAACAGTTGTGACTTTTCCCTTTCATGGAAAGAGCCTACCGAGGTCAAGGAAATCGTTTTCCTGCCTGTTTCCAGTGGCATACCGTGGGTAGCCCTGCTACTCCTTGTGTGCTGCTAACTGGGATACAATTCACAAACACAAAACACGAAAGACTAGAAGTTAGAATACAGATCAATCATCATCACTGCTGACAAGAACATAAATCGGGGCAAGGACTTTGAAAACCTGTATGGCAAGACCCGCAAAAGAGGAAAATGCTTCATTCTCCAGCAGTTACTCTACTGATGACACATTCATCAGAAATGCACACGTTACTAACATGCTCACAGCAGTGCTGCTCACAATACCCAAAAGCTGAAAGCAACTCAGATGCCTATCCATAGTAGAGTGGGTAAATAAAGTCGCACATTAGCACACAATGATGACAGCATGCGGCGTAAGAGAAGAATATCACAGATATAACACATAGCTTAGCCGGGCACTGCGGTACACTGTACGCCTGTAATTCCATCACTCGGGAGGTGGAGGCAGGAGGATTGCTGCGAGTTCAAGGCCAGTCTGGGCTACAAAGTGAGTTCAAGGCCAGCCTGAACTGTATAGCAAGACCCTGTCTCAAAAAGACAGAAAAAAAAATGGAGCCAAAGAAGCCAAGCATAAAACAAAAGGACATACTGTATGATTCAACCGATAGAAATTATAAGAACAGGCAGAACTAATTAATAGTGGGACAGTGTGGGAAATCAGAGAATGATTACTATTGAAAGAACATCTGCTGTGATTGACAATGCTCAGTTTCACTGTTGCCTAATAAGTTGACCCAAGACTTCGGGGCTTAAAATAACAGCCACTGTATTATATTCCACAATGTTGTGGGTCAGGGATTCACATAGGGCTAAGCTGAGCAACTCTTTTGCTTCGTGTGGTTTTGATGGTTTTGACTGAGGCCACGCAATGGTCTTCAGCTGGCAGATGGGCTGGTCTTCAGGGTCCAAGAAATCTCTCCTAAGAAGTTCTGATCCTGGCAGTGATCCCTGGAAGCGCAGGCTCCACTGAACTGTAGACAGAAGTGCCAGATGTGGCCTCTCCAACATGGCAATTCTTTCAGAGATCCCAAGAGACCCAGGTGAAAGCCGCAAGGCTTCTCATATTGGACTCCAAGCATCATTTCCAATTCATTTGCTCGTTCAAAGACATCACTAAAGCCAACCTAGATTGAAAGGGAGAGGAGATTCTACCTCTCTGGAGAAAGGCTCTGTGTGTACGTGGAAAGAAGGAACTAGTAGCAGCCATCCAGGAGACAAGTGACCCCGGGCAGCATTCTGTTTCTTGACTTGGGTATTGATTACAGCACTCTCTTCGGTTTGTGAAACTCTGCCAAGCAATACACTTACATATGCCCTTTTCTCTATGTATATCATTTTAATAAAAAGTTTAAATTTAACAACAATACCAAACAGAATGACTCTAGAAGTGGCTAGTCTTTCCCTTCTGGCCTCATGGACGCTCGTTTTGCTGAGTCCCCTAGCCCATTAACCAGCTATGTGATCTTACTCTGCATAGGTGGAAATGCTCAGCCTTCTTTCCCTGGGAGGATCTCAGTTTCAATGAGGATGAAAAATCTCGTGTGCTTCTGGGATTATCATGAAGAAGTATGAGGCAACCAGAAAGAAAACACCTAGCATGTCCCGGATGCTTGGCAAGTGGACTTCACTTGTTTTCAATCTCTGATCACTTCCTCAGACCTCTGATTCCTCAACTTCCAAGGAATGCAGCAGCTAAGACTTCCTGGAACTCTTTTTTGTTATTGTTGTTGTTATGTTTTGGTTTGTACCGGGATTCAAACTCAGGACCTTGTGCTTGCCAGGCAGGCACTGTGCTGCTGAGCCGAATCCCTGACTCCTTCCTGGAGCTCCTGACAGCAGTCCACAAAGGTGCCTGCCGCCTGCACACCGCGTCCTCACCTTAGGAGGGAGACAGGGCTGCCCTGGTAAGCCTCTGTTCCCTCCAGGGAGGGTCTGGGTCGGAAGCTGATGAAAACACTTAGTACAGCTCCCAGAATAAGCCCGAAGTCCCTCAGCAGAGTGACAAATGATTCACCTCGGCAAATGCTTAGTCACTCACTGCAAGGTACTTTCCACACAGACACATGGAGATGGTTACCAGAGAAACGTCTGCTGGCCGAGATCACACAGCAGCTCGGAGAAAATGTTGTTTTAACCTTTACTTTGCAGGGGGGAAAAGCATTACTTTCCCTTTTCCTTCCCTTTTCTTTTTTGGAGAGAGATCCACTGGCAACAGAGTTGAAGTGGTTGTTTTTGTTTACCCTGGAGGAAGTTTCCAGATAGCTCTGAATCCTGAGCCTTGTGCATGTGGCAGACCCTTCCAGTCTTAAGCACTTAACGTCTAAGTGTGTAAACAACCCCCTTAGAGGAAAATGTCATAGCCCTTCCAGATCGTAGAGCCTCCCATCAACTCTCGGGTCACCCACAGAATCCTCCGGGCATGTAGACCTCACAAAGAACCAAGGTTCAAATTCCTCTCTCCAGGGGTACGATGCTCTAGGCTGGGGTACAGATTCCAACTTCCAGGCTCCCGTGCTTCTTATTAACAATAATGAAGATTAATAATGCTTACTCACAGGTGACTATGAGAAGCAAACAGTGTGATGTGTAGAATTACCCCCAGAATGCTTTGCAATTACATAGTAGTTGATTAGTTAAAATGAGTTGGTCCATTTTTCCCTCTCTCCTGATTCTTCATGAGTCTTCTTGCTGCCTTTCTCTTTTTCAATTCCCTTTCTTTCTCCTTTTCTCTCTGCCTTAGATTCAATCAGCCTTCATTCTCTCTTCTGCTCTCTACTGTCTGTATTTTTTTTTCCCTTTTTTTGCCTTGTTTTCAAGCCTCAAAACTCCTCTCTGCTCCCAGCCATCTCTCTGGCTGGTATAGCCTTGGCATAGAGCTACTGAAAGCCAGCCAAATTCTGGTTAAAAACACTGCGATTCTTGGCCAGACTTTCCTTACGAATGAGGGTGATGTTTCAGGCACGGGAACTCTTCCCATCCATTGAGGCCCTGGGGAAAAAAATAGCAACACCTCAGTGTGTGGCCTTAGGTGGACAGCAAAGTGGGGCTCTGGGCACTGACAGAAATAAATCT